GGCAGAGCATTATGCTATATGCTCTATGACAGCTTCATCCCTTTGTTGTTGTATACGACTCTTAGTGCCTTTGTGACAGTCTTAATCTATCCCATCCTGTGGTGGTTGAGATCCAGTACTGGCTGATTCTCATCTCTAGCCTATTTAATTTGATGTGCCCTTTGGATACCCAGCCCTATTGACGTTACCTCAGAGGAACTTGCAGATGCCGGTGCTAAGGACATTTCTCAATCTCTCGATTCCTTATTCAAATTCTTGCCCAGTCATTTAGTCGACAGTCGATGATCAGGTATTATGGATAACAAACTGCATACTGTACTCTTAAATGTGACCTATCCCCATGACCCTTCTCCTACTGCCAGTAATTGGGAATGGAAATAATTTTGGTTAGGCTGCATATTGAGCACATGTGCTTAACCCAGGGGCATTTAATGGAATAACAGATACTCTGCACCTAATTGTCCAGCTTACAGTTGTGCACCTCTTCATAGAATGTTCTAATTTTCAGGTTGATTGTGTCTTGCTTTATAAATGTCCATTTTAGTCACTTGTCCCTTGATAATATACTTGGGAAGTCTGATGCCTTTAACATTGCTCATCTTATGTCTTTTGCTCACATATTGGTCTCTTGCACAATATTTATGACCAGAATATCATGGGACATACTGTATATAGAGATGGTGCTAAATATTCTTCCTTGTTTGGTTCGGTGCCTTTTAATAATTACTTACTCGATTGGAGAAAGAGTATTTTGCATCTTTTGAGTGAAATATCTTTAATTTCAAAGCCATAGTTTCGATTGATGTTAGACAATGCAAAATTAAACCCAAAAATCTGAGTGAAGATTGTCATGAAATCTAATCTTAAGTACTTGTATTGTTTTGCCTCTATTAATCTGTCAAGGCTAAATAAATTTAACCCTTTTAAAAGGGCCCAGTATTATCAGGTATGTGAAGTTTATGTTGCTAGACTCTATACATAATTTGCAGTAATGGTCAATCAAACATTGCTGTTTTTAATTTAATTATTTGTATGTATTTTGTACTATTTTGTGTATTGGTATAATTAACCTATCTTCATAATGCTGTATTAATGTGTAGCGATTTGACTTCGATATCAAGGAACCATTTCCCAAGCTATACCGCAGGTGTGCTATGACCATATGTTTTGCCCACCTGTGGTGATAAATGTGTGTTCTGCCACTCGTTATTTTCCATCAGAAATTCACACATTATCTGGCAGATGACCACCTCAAATCTGCTCCTGAATATCCTCTTTCAACCGGATTGACTGAAAAAATGTTTTGTTATGCTTAACAAGAAATAATGATGAAATGGTTCAGAATGCAAACCACATGCAAGTGTTCGCTTGCACATGTGCAAGCCACACCATCGCCACATGCAAGTATTTGCACAGAGACATTGATCCAGACAACTTTTTCAAAGAGAATGATGTAACAGACAAGGAGCAACGGTTTCAAGGTCAATAAGCCACAATGTAGGACTGAAAACAGTAGATAATTTTCACCCATAGGGTCATAAACCCATGGAACCGCCTACCCGTGAAACCGTAAATTCCAAAACAGTAGAAATGAGACCTTTGACAAGTCGTCGTCGCGGCCACTAGTGTGTTAGTGGCACACTGGTAAATGTTTGCCCAGTGGCAGCATCGCCGTAGGTAAGGCCTCCTGGTTTAATCTTTGACGAGCGGACGTCAGGAGGCGATGGACAACCCGTCCTCTTAAAAAGAACGTCACTTTTGGCTGGTATGCGCGATATGGCTAAATTTGGACGTAATTTGAAATGAAATCGACTCACAAAAGTGACGTTCTGTTCCGTTTTCTATTTGAGTCGTCCGCCTTACGCGCAGAGGTTATAAGAGGACACTTTAAATTCACGTTTTTCATAACGTTTTGAAACTTTATGAGAATTTCCTGCCCACCTAACCTATCAGAGGACCCTTAACTTACTGTTGTTGAAAAAAGAAATCCCAAATTTATTTTAATTTTTTTTTCATTTTCAAATTACGTCCAAATTCGGCCATACGGGCAAACGGCCAAAAGCGACGTTCTTTTTAAGAGGACAGGTTGATCCACGTTCCATTCCGCGACTATACCCATAGGTTTTGATACTTCCAAGTGGCATTTCTATTCAACGGTCCGGATTGTTACGACGCCTGGCACGCACATCGTATGGGGTTTACAGGAAAGTTAATAAATTTTGAACGTTTTCTGGCTGGTGGTTCGGGCAGGGAGCCGGCGCCGGCTTGGTCGACAGTTGGCGGGTCTTAGTGGGCCCTCAGACCAGCAGGTGGGCAGTAGGTTTTGCTGTGCCGAAGGAAACTTGAAACTTTTTTTTTTTCGTTTTGCCCATATGGGTACGAGTTTAGGAGTCGTATTTTTGCCTTGACTACCCAGTGTTCTGTGTGGGGTGGGGGCCAAGTGCTTGCATCCCTGAGGAACTCTTGGGGCTTTCCAATCATCTGCCTATCAGTGATTATTAGCCGCAAGGCGCATACGTTTCCGGCAACAGGCGACGTTCATTTAGCCACACGGCTTTGGGATTTACCCTTTGAGGGGTACATACGGAACCTCTGACGCCTCGGTCCATAAACCACCATCATCGCCGTAGGTAACTTTTCCCCCAGTGGGGCATCATAACAGGAACATGTTCGCCAAACTACAGAATTACAAAGTAAATGCTCGACCGCCACAAGGAAATATCACCCAGCGACGACATTGCACCAGGTAAATACATTTTGCCCAGCGACATTGTCACATGTAAATCTTCGTCCAGCTAGTTTAAATTATCCCTTAGAAGTATATTAATGGATAAAAGGAGAGGTAAACATAAAATTTTCCGCATTCTTGGATCAGTGTTTTTTTGTGATCGTTATTGCATTAGTTTAAATTACAAAAACAAAACTGAAAAATATTATTATATATATATATACTATATATATATATATATATATATATATATATATATATATATATATATATATATATATATATATATATATATATATATATATATATATATATATATATATATATATATATATATATATATATATATATATATATATAATATATATATATATAATATAGGGGTACCACCACTGGTGCAATTGAAGGGACCCACATCCTCGAAGAAAATAATGCGAGATCAGTGATTCTAACCCGAATCTTCTCATTTTTTTTTCACTTAAGTAGGAAGTTTCAAAATTTAACAGTCTCCGTGGTGTAGTGGTAAGACATTCGCCTGGCGTTCCGCGAGCGCTATGTCATGGGTTCGTATCCTGGCCGGGGAGGATTTACTGGGCGCAATTCCTTAACTGTAGCCTCTGTTCAACGCAACAGTAAAATGTGTACTTGGATGAAAAAACGATTCTTCGCGGCAGGGATCGTATTCCAGGGACCTGCCCGAAACGCTACGCGTACTAGTGGCTGTACAAGAATGTAACAACTCTTGTATATATCTCAAAAAAAAAAAAAAAAAAAAAAATTAACTTTACAAAGTTCATCTTCCAATTTTATTTAGCCTGATGCTAAGAGAGGCGTTTCGTTAGTCCTTGTTCGAAAACACGAGGAAACATACAATATACTGCCCCAGCCATCATGGAAACTTGGGATATTGGCAAGTTGGAGTGGGCCTATTGGCCCATAAGTGAGGTACTTCACATTCAACTCATCCTAGGCAGCCTTCCAGGCTTGGTGCCTTCTTTTGATAATTACTTCCTTATCTCTGGCAACAAAAACAACTTGTAACCATTCAAACCCTGCCTTTGATAATGACAACAACATTTAACAACGTATCTCTTGGCGACAGCCCAAATAAAATTATAAAATGATCGTTTTAAGAGTTAATTTTTCATCTTTCTTCTCATATGAAGAAAAACAAGAAAATTAGAGAGGGTCCGTACTAGAATAATTGATCTCGCCCTTTTTATCATATTTAAAAATATAAGCACAAGAAAGACTGTTGTTGATGCAGAAGTCTCGCCACCAACAGCACCGGTACCATAACCACTACACCAACGATCGCCTATTACTGTAGTTTTCTCACACATTATCTGCACAGGTTTTATGGCCAACCAACAACCAGTATGTATATAAAATATATATTTAATTATATATACCTGTACACATTATATACATACATTTAATTATATATTTAAACGACAAATTTGCATAAACCACAAGCCATATGTAACCGAAAAACTCTTCCTCGTGAAGAATTCGAACCTTAGATAGCCTGGCGCTCCAAAGGCACTAGCATATCGAGTACTGTGACCAATACACCATGACTGACTGTACAAAAGTCATTAATAGTCAGGGACTCTTTACCCAACAACCCGACAGCATGGCACGGTTGTTGGTCTTCTGTTACTGGTAACAAACTGCGTGCTCTTAAGAGAAGTGTGTTCTCCATGATCTTCCTCCTACCACCGTAACCGGCGGTGGGAAACGGCTCTGGCAAGATTGTGTATTGGCCATACACGCTTAACTCACGGACACTTAATGGAGCACTGCCCTTCTACTTATTGTCCAAACTGCATTGCTCCTTTTACGGTCGTGATATGCCTTGTTAGGTCCCCCCCCAAGGGATCGAAATTACACGCCCTCCCCAGAATGCAAACCCCCAACAATTAAGCTAACTGACTCCTGGGTACCTACTTCTAGGCGAACAGGTGCATTAAGAAACGCACCCGCGTTTCCTAATGCCCGTTCGAGTCACGGGACTCGAACCCGGAATTTCCGATTGAGAGAATAGAACGAAGCCAACTGTACTACGAGATCCCCCCTCTGCCGCTACCCGTAGCAGCAGGAACACGGTACTTAATCACAGCGCCGTCGTCCCGCAAGACCCTATATGTGGCATAATAACATCTTGAAGGTCTTTGATAAGAAGCGCTGGGTGTTCAGAAGATAAGAAGCGACGGCAGGTAGGAGCCGGGTGGAGTGTATCAGTATGTGGTGAAGGGGTGATAGGGTGAGTGTATTTCGTATCTGAGCCGTGCTAAGTCCTATCTCGTGCCTGGGCCGTGCTAGGAGGTCCTATACATGCTCCACATCGTACCTAGGTTGTGCTAGATTTCACCTGCCCCTCCTCGTATCTGGATCGTGCTAAGAGGTCCCACCTGCTTCACCTCGTACCAGGAACGTTCTAGGAGTTCCCACCTACTCCACCTAGTACCTAAGCCGTGCTAGTGAAGTCCCACCTGCTGTGTTATCGTCGATCGACGCACAAACGTAATTGAAGAAGTGTTAATGACAGAATTACAACCTTCGTAAATAAGTTAGTGTTAATGTAGTATACATTAGTGAAGTAGCTGTTGTGACAGTAATACACCAGTGAAGTCCTTCAAAAGGGACTCTGCCCCACCCCTTCTTTCATATAGGACTTTGTCCCCCCTCCCTCTACAAAGGACTCTATCTCCATCATAAGAGTAGCTTGTTTCAAGCGCGGGGATTGTTCTTCACGTTCAGTTGACTTTCAGCTAAAGATACTTTCATTAAATATCTTCTTGTTTCAACTCCACATGTTCGTGATTTTATATACACCAAGAAGCCATGTCAGTATAAGTTATTGAATAATCCAACTTTGTATCCTACTAGACATGAGATTACTAAATAAACCAAAAAGAGCAAATCTTTTAAAGTCGTTCTTCCTGATGTCTTCAGGGTATTCCAACATTTCTCGAGGGCTAACTCTTATCAAAGTTATGCTGATATGCCTTGTTAGGTTATGATCAACTACTACTAGGCTATGATCAACTACTACTAGGCAATGATCAACTACTACTAGGCTATGATCAACTACTACTAGGCTATGATCAACTACTACTAGGCTATAATCAACTACTACTAGGCTATGATCAACTACTACTAGGCTATGATCAACTACTACTAAGCTATGATCAACTACTACTAGGCTATGATCAACTACTACTAGGCTATGATCAACTACTACTAGGTTATGATCGACTACTACTAGGTTATGATCGACTACTACTCAGCTTAGCTTGGAAATTAAAATGTTAAAACTGTCCATAACTTAGAGTATTCTGTCTATCGCGGCTAAATTAGTGTTGAATGGTTGCAGTGAACGAGTAATGTTGCGTAACAACCTTTTGCAGACAGATTAAGGTGTTTTTCTAATCTCTTAAAATTCCGTTTGATCTTCCGAACAACTGATGACAAGACTATTGTCTAAAAAAAATTACTAATGTAATTCTGTTATTTTTTACTAATGTAATTCTGTTATTTTTTACTAATGTAATTCTGTTTATATTCTGCACAGTTAAAACCCTTGCCTTTCTCCGGATTAGTGGCAGAGTTTCTTATTAAAGATAGACTGTATAATGTTGAGAGAGTTACAAGTGGGTTTTCTATCTAGTGAAAATATAGTGACTTACAGTCTGATTCTACGGCTTTACAAACAAGTCCAGGATCATTTTTGTCCTTATGCATGTAGACAAAGAGATGCATCAGTAAGAAGAGGGAGTATTGGGGAATAGCGGTGTGGCTCAGGAACTTGCATACCACTTTTATGCAGTAAGACTGTAGACGCTCGTCCTGCGTGACAACAGTGGTGGCTTCTGAATCATTAGACTTGCTGAGTGGTTGTAGCCTATCACGAGCCACAAAGTTTCGCTGCCCACCAACCGTCTCTCTCTTACGCATTCACTATCTGTCATAACTTTGTATTGGTCTTCTCTGATAGCCTTTCCACCTCTTGACTTGCAATAAGCTACTTTTCTGTTTACACATCACATTATGTGTTTTAAGTTTTGCATTTTTGCTGTACAGTTATCTGTAGCAGTATGAGAATTCTATATTTTTATTGAATAACATTGTATTATTAGCCATATGTTTACAAGATTTTTGAATTGATGAAGTGACTATTGGTCACCAGCCTGTTGTCAAAATGCATTCTAAAATTTGGCGTATTTGGGGTGGTAAGAGTTAGAAGTTCTATGTTCGTACAAAGAATACATCTATATATGGTGGTCACATATCACATCTTCTGTGTGGTAGTTTGTTCTGGAGTGAGGAACTTGCAAAGAAGCTAAAAGTTATTTTTTTTAATTTGTGGAATACACAAAAACCAGCCACATATCTTTTCCCTGTTGTAGAGGATGCGTATACGCCATTAGGTCAAACACATTTACATTACATCTCAATAGTCTTAGTGAATAACTTAAACATTTTAAACTGTAAGTCAAAATTTACATTCATATAAATAATTTCCAAGCATCCACTCAAAAATTTTTCCATATTATACTGTACAATAGAACTGTCCAGAAGTCCATATATCCTCGGGATATAACACGCCACAGGACAGTGAATTATCGTAATATTTAGGTCAGGACAGTTATTTTGGCCACGTCAGCGGAGGGGGAGATTTCGCAGCCATGACCCTCGCCCCCTTGCCAGGACACAACGGCAACTGTATCCTGTGTATTTTCACGTTGATTCGACTATCTGTTTGTCATGATACCCTCTTCATTGCCTAACAAATTTGAATGAGTCGTTCGTCGCCCCTTTGCAACAAAAATATAATAAAAATGTTCAGGGATAAAAGATACTTCTAAAGTTCAAAACCTATATTCTGGACCACCCTATGCAGTTAAACTAAAGTTGTATTCCTCCTCTTCATTTTATTAGCTGGGTATTGATTGTGTACCATACCAGAATTAGGGCTCCAAAGTCTAACGACTTTCTAAGGTTGCCTGTTGTTATGCTCGACCCCCACACGGCATCGGTTCTAGAACGACCAGGGTCAGTAGTGTTCCGAGTGTGGTGGAGTGAGGGTGTCGCTGTTTTTGCTGCACGAGTACATGACAGACTGAGTTATTTGGCAAGACTCACTGTAAGAGTGTTCTGACGTTAAGCCAAGACGCAATCCTATTGTAGTGGAAATGTTCTGCTCTTATTTGTACAAGTCAGTGCGCACGTTACATCGAATGTTGTAAATGTCTCTGTAGTCCAGGTAAGAATGTTTTTTTTTTTTATCTTTCAACGTATGCTTTCTTGAGACTTCGTAAGACGTCCTTGGTTGCTCAAATTTACGATAGAGAACTATATTTGCTTATAATATCCGTAGTTAACGTTAGTTTCGTAACAAGAAAATCCTGAACAAGAAGATTGGTATAAGTATAAAATTCTGATATATTTTTAACGCTCATATTCTCTTTAAAACAATTGAAGTTACTTTAATTTATAAATAGATAATATATTTTGGCAAAAGTTGTATATATTTCTCTACGATTTGAAGCGAATATCTCTTAATAGGAAAGAGAATGAAGCTTCACTTGACGTTGTTTTGGTAAGATTCGAAGTGCAAGTCACAGGAACTGGTCCGAGGACGAGTTATGACCTTGTATTGTTACCGTCGTATTTATACTTGTAATATCCTAACATTTAGAACCTGCCTGAATGTGCGCCTTGATATTCTACGCACAAATAATTAGTTTTATGTACCGCGTATATTTAACTGAAGTATGTTAAATCTTGTCGGTTCAAACTTTACAAAGAGCGTAAAGTTAGGATTTACGCTCGTTGACTTTCCATGCCGCGCCTAGCCTAAAAGACTAAATCGGCTTTTAGCCGACACAATACATAGGTGAAATGTATCTAACCCTTGCAGGGTAAAGGGGGATAAGGTGCAGGTACCATATAGATGTTATGATCCTTTTAACTCTCAACTAGCTATATGTATATACCAGACACGCTCAGAAAATTTGGATTAGGAGCCTCTCCTCCGTGTCTGCCCAACCCAATAAAACCTGGTAATATGCACTCAGATGTCGAAATATAAGATATTCTTTCTGCTCCGTCAGTCAAGTGAGGGTCGTGGATACAATGTGCGCGCACGACGTAATAACACCTGCTTATTTACATTTTTGTCTAACATTCAAGGCGACGGAAGTGCACCGAGGTGAGTGGTGTACACCAAGGGAGGGAGGAAGGGGCGTGGCGGGTTTCCCGGGGGGGGGGGGGGGGGGGAGGGGAGGAAGGAGCTGGGGAGGAAAGGGGTGTGGTGGTTTTCCTAAGGGATTAGGTAGGGGTATTGAGGGTTTCCGAAGTAGGGGGTGTCGTGGGTTGGAGAGAAGGGGCGTGGCGATTTTCCTCGGGTGGGGGGAAGGCAGGGGCGTGGTGGTTCTTTGAATCTTGGGGGGGGAAGATGCTATGGCTTCCCCCCCCCCCCTCCCCCCCTCCCCCACCAAAAAAAAATGGAAGCTGTGGCGTGGCACCGAGGTCCGGGGGGTGGGGGGGTTGCAGAGTTCGATGGGGTTTCTGGTGTGTACATATCTTCCTCGCCAGTACCAGGGCCATAAATATAGCTTAACCTTCGTTGATGACTAAACGCCGTGTGGAAACAGCGCACCCGCAATGTTTACAAAAGTGTTCGCGGGAACACTACGCAAGAGGTAGTGTACGTTACTATCCATCGTTACTGTACGCGAGATATATCTCTTGGTTACATGTTTTATAGCTACAGTTTTCTTGTCTGCTGTCGTCTTTTGATAATTTATTACGTCATATAAGACATTATTTTGGAAATAATTAATGTATTAAAATAAAATAAAAGGTGGCATTTTGCGTTGTGACGCGTCATTTCTATAATTAGGCGCGATTCATGTTGGCATGTGCAGTAAATCTATCATGGGGGGCAACGCATGCTATGTATTTAATACGGTTTAGGCTCAGATTTATTTATCGCTGCGACTAATGTATCCTAATAAACTATTTATACAAAAACGAACACTAGTTTCTTCATTATACACGAGTTATTAAATCTTGCCGTAATTCAGAAATTTAGAATTGTCCTAAGACACGTGACGAGGGATGCTGAGTTTGTAGTTGATTGCTGCTGAAGGCTTTTCAGCTCTTGCATGGTAAACTAGTTTTCCAGTTCCAACCGATTCGTCAGTTGTTTGCACATCTTTCGTTAACGGAGGTCAGAACTTGTACATAGCATGATGAACATTTGACTAGTTTATCCAACAACGAAAGAGGGTTGATAAATGTATTGGCATATAAGGTAAGTAGTGAAGTACGAAACAAATCTTTGCAATTGGAATGTCTGAGACCTGTCCTAGGAACTATTTGTAATATTTATAAACAAGGAATAAAAATATTTATAAATGAAGAATAAAATGACTTTTGCATGTTACTAACAAATTGGGCTAAACAAATTCGTTAGGCTCGAAATAGCTACACGACCTAAATAGGCATTTATATTAAACAATAAACGAAAAGATTGGCAAAAACAGGTTAATGCAAATAATGTTTATAGTTGTTTTAATTTGGAAGTAAACATCTCTAATTACATCGCATAGAGATGACCTTACAGCTAGAAAACACTTAAATTTAATCAGTTTATCTGTGGATGGAGTTCTTTGATATGTTGCCCAATTATGTATATCATACACATGCATTGTTCAGGCACAGAAAATAAATTTATAAGCTTGAATATCTCAATGTGTTCACTGCCTTATGTGTTGCACTTGATTTCAAGGTCACGAGATCAAATATTGTGAGAGAGCAGTTCGGCCCTTTTAGTATGGTCGGCAAATCTGGCGTCAAAATATTTTGTTCTAGTTTAAGACTATATTTTATTGCAGTTACTGCTGGATCTTGATTGGCCACCGGGTGCATGGCTACAGTCGGCGCTGGACCATGCTTCACCCATCACGACCTCAGTAACACCTAAGCCTATCTGGCTAGTCCCCACCTTGACCACCGCGCTCCCTGTCAACACACACCAGTGTTGTGGTACACCATGTGTAACCTAGGCCAGACGGGCAGCAGCACCTGAGTGGCAGTACTGGCTGGACCTCAACTTCACCACCCACGCCAAACGTTAGCAATATGAAGAAATTTGCTGATGAGGGAGGTGAGCAACATATATATATATATACTCGTCAGGAAGGCAGAATATTATGTATAAAAAACAGTATAGCTGGTTGCTGCCGTGCCCTAGGCTGGCAGGTTAAATATATATATATATATATATATATATATATATATATATATATATATATATATATATATATATATATATATATATATATATATATATATATATATATATATATATATATTCATGCGTTATGCGCACGTCACAAGTGATTACTCAGTTACTATACGTAAACGACCCGATTCTAAGCATTCTGCGGGGGGGGGGGGGTACTTCCCCAACACAAGCCCACGCTCTAAAAGTTTATTTCCTTCAATTTGCTTGCTTATTGCAGGATATATTGTGCAGCACTCGTTAGCCAGTAATATATTAACACGAGGAAGTAAAAACTACTCTTCTTGATAATGAGCTGAATGTTGAGCAAAGCTTGTACACACAATTGTATAATAGTTACATATTGAGAATTAGGTCCAGCATTAAGGTAGTATTGTGAAATATCTTTTGATGGCAGCAGTGATGATGCACTGTTGTGATTAAATCAGTGCAAGCTAAGGTTCCAGGTGACACTTAGTGACACTGGCAGTAGAGGGAAGAGCCCTCCCAGTCCTTACGTGTTTTAAACACGTCTCGCCTCGCTAGCAGTTGAGGAGCCAAAAGTAATTCCAGTACAGTACTAATTTAAAAATGTAACTGTAAAATTTACTCTAGTTTAAATATTATATTTTATATATGCAGGATGGGACGATTTGATAGTTTCTTCAGTTTACTTCCAGCAGTGGTAGGCTTAATTGAGAACATTGAGGGAGACTAGCAGATAGTGTTCAATGTAAAAACAAGTGTAAGGCTTCAAATCAGATTCAGATTCAGATGTTTATTCAGGTAAGGTATATACATACAAGTGATGTTACATTAATGGATTGATATATAGATAGAGCTAGTACATACAATGCCTAAAGCCACTATTACGCAATGCGTTTCGGGCAATGTACCCCCAAAATGACAATAAATGACATGTACCCCCAAAAGATTCTAAAAGAGGAAGGCTGCCAGTTACAAAAAATTAGCTCACTTCGTAGATGTTGCATGTTGACGCTATCTATATTTAGTGCAATGCATGATAAGCTTCCATTTACCAGATTAAGGTGGAGGGTGCTTTTTCCAGGGCCGGCTACAAACCACATTCGACGATAGGACTGATATTTACAATTGTAAACAAATTGAAGATATTAATTCAAACCATTTCTTTAAAAATTCAATGTTATGCAAGGAACAACAGCTTAAAGTTGAAGTAGCAGTGTATACAAAAAACATGAGGTGCTTTTTTACCCATGGGGTGAAGCCCCGTACAATCTTGTATCCGCCGAAACCATAAATGCCAAAACATTTACGCATTTTCAAAACGAAAATGCACCAAAAATCCTAAAGAATAATGGTGGGAACTTCTGACACGCCGCCGGCTTCCTGTGCTCGTTGAGGTCACTAGTGATGGTGGCCCTCGGGTAAATGATGTAACGATAATACAGGCAGTTATATTAGTCTTGCATGCATGTCATGGTGAAGGGAGTGTGCGGGAGCATAGTTTGAGCTGGTCATTTTACATAAGGAGTAGACTGGAGGCAGTGTGAACCTTGTAAGTGATCTTCGGCAGGTTGGTTACGGGTGTGTGTGTGCTGCGCGGCCCTGCTGGTGCACCACGGGCTGAGAGACTCCCTCATCACTGCATTGCCCGTCATCGCTGCCCTCCCTCCATCCTCGCCCGCATCATCCACCACCATAGACCTCGCACACACCACTGTCGCCACCAGCCTCTCCACTCATACATACTATAGGTCTACATCTCCTCTAACACCTCGTATTTTTACTACAATCGCCCCAATAATCCCAAGAATATCTAGTCAAGAGTTCGCAAGCTCTGTAAACGAAAGTATAAACCCAATAAGAGATTCTTTAGTGGGTGACAAGATCCTCGAACTGAGGCGTCGGGAGTCAAGTAGTCCGCAGGCTTCACCTACAAGCCACCACCAGGAAATATTGCATGTCATACCAAGGAAAATTAGACGTAATGATTTATTAGTTCAAGAAGATCACCTTAAAAGGGCACGGAGAAAAGATAGTAGAGTCATTCGAGAAACAGATTTATCAGGAGTTGATGATGAGGATCAGCAGCAGCTTGCAGGACATGTCTCGACTCAGAGGACACTTTTATCAAACTCTACCCAAAATGAAGAGTGGGCGAGGCACTTCCCGTTGGGTGTGGGCGCCGTGAAGCTCTCTCTAGACTTTCTGAAGCCACCGAGCCACTGGCAGGACCAGGACCTGACAGACCTAAAGGTGAGTCAGTGAGGTCACTTGCTGAAAATGTAGTTGTTCGGAGTTAATATTTTGAATATTTGATGTATGTTGTTTAACAATGAATTAGAATTGTCTGCGTGGTGCTTGACTGATTTTCTTTTGTGTACATGAAGCAGATGATATTCATGGTATATACTAGATCTCTCAAAGAAACTATTAATTTTAATGCAGCTGAACAATATACACTGACTGTACAAGGCATTAAGAAAAAACTCTTGCACAGCCCCATTTCTTGGTTACCGACTGGCAGATGTACACTTTGGTTAATATTAATACCTTCACTGCACTGGATCATACAAACTACTGATGTAGCACCCAAATTTAATCGAGAAATTAAAGGTAACATTGAACAGCCGTTTAACGTTATACTAAAAACTTGAAAGGGAAACAGAAAGTTGCGTAATTACTTTGAGTAAGAGGTGTAACATAAAATATTTAGTTTCATGACGTGAGGAGTTGTACTCCCTAGGAAAATTTTCAAATTTTTGAAGGTTTATGTAACAGTGATTAAGACTTGTTTGAAGTGATAAGATAACCCTGCTCGGATAACCCAATCCTTTTGATTCTAGTCACCACAGGTGCAGCCATCATAAACTAGAGCTAAATGCGCGATAATTAACCAGCCCCAAAACCGATAAGTTTGTTTTTATTGTTTAGATTTAGCAACTCAAGAAATTTCCATGTAGCACGGGCTATAGTGAGCCCGTAAGCCGATAACGTTTAAGCCTTTCTTTTATAGTGGGCCTACTTCCAGGACGTGTCTCTTGCCTCCCGCCTATCCCTCGCCCCCTTGATACACGCCTTGATGAATCAGACACCTTTGATATCACTCGCCTTGTGCTCTTTTGTTCTCGTATTGGCAGCCTTAGTGATATTTAGCGCCTTTTGATTATCCTGCGACTTTGATGGTGCTACAGTTTCCCATTGTTTTAATAATTACTTAGTGCTGGCTAACTTAATAGGAAGGAAATGCTTTATAAATGCTTTAGCACCCACGTACTACAAATACAAATAATTAACAGATCCTAAACGCCTAATACATACACGCACCTTAGGCTTGTACCGAGGTGTCTCCCCCAGGGTCAAACTACTACTACTCAGGATGCAACTCCACAAGAGTTTACCTCCCAAATATATTCTGCTTGGTGAACAGAGGCATTAGGTGATGGAAACATCCCCAACCATTTATGTCTCTGCTGGGATTCGAACCCGGGATTCCAAATTGTGAATTGAGAACGATCCCAACTGTGCTACAAAGACCCTCAAATGCGCAACTGGCCGGACGTTGTTACAAGAACGCCAATGTTTTGTCAACAAACTCGTGTTAGTATGTCGGGGGCGAACGTTTTGACGTAGACGCCACACTCGTGTGTACCCGCCTATTTGTGCTTGCGGGGATTGAGCTCTGGCTCTTTGGTCCCGCCTCTCAACTGTCAATCAACTGGTGTACAGGTTCCTGAAGTGTGTGTACGTACGTACGTGTAATTACCTAAGTGTAGTTTCAGGATGAGAGCTACGCTCGTGGTGTCCCGTCTTCCCAGCACTGTCATATAACGCTTTGAAACTACTGACGGTCTTGGCCTCCACCACCTTCTCGCCTAACTTGTTCCAACCGTCTACCACTTTGCTTGCGAAAGTGATTTTTCTTATTTCTTCGGTATCTGTGTTTAGCTAGTTTAAATCTATGACCTCTTGTTTTTAAATTTTCAGGTCCCAGGTAGTCTTCCCTATCGATTTTATCAATTCCTGTTACTATTTTGTATGTAGTGATCATATCACCTCTTTTTCTTGTCTTCACGTGTACGTACGTGCGCGTGTACGTTAGTGTGCATGTTCACGTACGTACTCGTCTGTGTAAGCTCGAGGCGGCTACATTTAGTCTGATCACTGCTCGTATTTAAGACAATTTTTCGTCTGCAAGTTACCCCATCAATGTGTTCTGACCTCCAGAAGTCTTTCGTTTTTTCTGTGGCAGAGTAGATTTTTTGTTTATTTTTTCTCCCATGTTTTTTGGTGTGTGTTTTGTTCCGAAAATTCCGTGGTGCCTCGCCTAACATCCTGGATCAGCCGCTGGAAATATATATATTACACAGTGGCAATTACATGTGCAATGCTCACTGTGCGAATATGTAAGTATCTCTTGTAGGAAATGTAGATGTTTATCTCTCGGAATGTTTGGTAATATGTTTGTGATGTGTGTCTATGTATGTATTAACACGATGTACTGAACGGGGTGAGAATAGCTTGAGCTACCTCATCCCTTTGTGTGTATTTTACATCAATAAACTTATTTCAATATCAATTTCCTTCAGGTAAACAATTATGAAAGGTGATTTTGCTGACTATACAAATGTTGTGGAGTTTTCATGATGCAATGTCTCAGAATAGCACAGTTACCTGATAAAATGTATATATGCTGGTTAGCATTATGTATATGAATGGCCACCTCTAAGGTAGCATTTTTTAATGCAATTGTTTTAAGAACATTGGTAAATAGAATTATCAATATTTCTTTCGAACTTTAATTTCTAATAATAAAATGCCCTCGCCCCTCTGAAAAAAATATATTTGTTAGTGCTGCGACTGGGAATATGGGCAATATATTCAGTAATATATTATATCGATATATTGTTTTCACAAGAATAAAACTAAATTTTTCTCGTAAACTACTTAAATGTCAGAGTATACCTGAGTTTACACTCTTAAACACGCCATTCATCATAGCAGTTGTTAAGACATTTTATACAAATTATGCACATTTAAACCTTATTGGTTGACACGAGTTTGGGGGCGGTGTGAGGGTAGTAAGACGGTGCCTGCCTGCAGGAGGAGTGGTCGCTGCTGCTGGAGGGTGTAGTCCTCAGTGCTGTATACTGGACGTGGCTCCTCACCGCGCTACTTGCTCATCAACTCATCCACAGGTAAGCATGACATCACTTAGGATGTTAATTGGTTTCAGATTTTTTAACCCTTTTCTCTTTCATGTGAAAATGATCCATTATTTTACGCATAATACTCGTATAATGCTTAATGTGTGTGCCTTGTAATTTTAATAATTAGACGTATTGTAAACTTTGTTACTAGCAGGGGTCTAGATTTAGTCGTGATTCTCTTCTACCACTCGGTTAGCCTTGTCAGCCGGAGGGAGGGAACTGGGAATTTAAATTGCAGTCTTTAACAGTTAAAATTCACAAATTATAACTTTCTTCCTCAGTTTTGTTAGTGTCAGCTCCAGTCTTTGGTCAGCCAGTGGTTGTGATCATTATTGACCTTTTTCAAAAATGTATTACCCCTGTGCCGCTGACTTCTATTTACTTGTGCGCGACTTGATCTCTCTTCTAGAGGATCATTGAAGGAAAACTGCCAGGCTCATTGGCATACCAAATTGTCACCGCTCCAGTTGAGAGCAGATGTAACATCACTACTCTTGCTCCACGGTACTCCTCCAGCCTCTCCTACCACTTTAGTCTCGCTAAATTGGCTAAAACTGCGGGATGTGCAATATTACTGTTAATTGTCGATTCTTTTGTTTTCGCCTTGTGTCGTATAAAGAATTGTGTTAAAGGTTTAAGGAAATAATGGAAGGCGTGATAACAGGTAGAGCAGAGGAAGAACGCCAAGAAGGGGGGTGGGGGTACACCTCTGAAATACAGGATTTGTGTTGCAGGGTTGACCCGGCGGTGGTGTTGGCAGGGTCCGTGGGCGTGGCGGGAGTGTTGGGGCTCCTCACCCACGCTGCATCTCTGGGAGGACCTTGGCTGCTACTGGCCTCCAGACTACTACTCGGCGCCGTCCAGGTGAGTACTTCAACTCTTCTAATGGTGTTCCCTTCGTGTGTTGCTACCTGCACATGCAAAGCCCCCGTGCATGTCTTCTTTTTCAAGTTTTGAGCGAGGGACTGATACTGATGAAGTATCGTTAGTATTGTTATCTATAGTTACTTCAGAACTATAATTATAGTTATGACGTATAGTTAGCCCTTACCATAAAGGTTTCATTGTCTTGCTCTGTTGTCACCAGCAGGGTATCCCCATGGCTGCACGCGAAAACTGCAGACTCGTTGTTCCAGAATGTTCTCATACTCATATTTTCATCTCTCATAATGTTCTCAGAGCCAAACTGGAAGGTGTTTGTGTGTCGGTTGGGCTCTAGTTGATTCAAAGTTAAAGTTCGTGAATTTGTACCCTGTGGACGACATAATATATGCGGTATTTAAATAGAATTAGTTTTCTTTAACCTTTGCAGTAATCAATCGTTTGCGGCCATTGTGGTCTTGGGAAACATTACGATGCCTCACAATATTAAGATCTGTTTGCAGTGTACTAGATTATCTCTACTAAAATCCATTCCTGTAATGGTGTTGCAGTAACTATATACGAAATTACGAATGTCATAACTTGTCCTTTTGTACCAAGTAACTATATGTTGCGTAAATTAATGCTACCTAATCTACAGGGCGTGAGCTTCCCGTGTGTGGCCAGGGTGCTGGAGGGAACACCTCACAAGCACCGTCCCGTCGCTCCCTATATCGTCTTTGCCGGTGAGTCTTGGCCAATTGGGCGAACCTTAGCTGGTGTAGTCAGCCCCAGTTAATACCAATAATACCTCTGATAAGACAAAGGTATCAAGGTACAAGTAATTGTGGTAAGGGAATAGGCTATAGATGCGGTGCACTCTGTTACATATCCTCATTCAAGGATATGTAATGGCACAACTTGAGATTGTAAAGTATATTTTTGGTGTTCGCTGTGTATAAATATTATGATGTCTTAGTCTTGTTAATTGAGAAATGAAGTGTTATGGAGGTAAAAACTTAGTTGGTGAAGGCTATTCAAATATGATTTACTTGGTAAGCTTTTACTGGTAGGGCCATACCTGGGCACCATCCTGGGAGGAGGACTTGGTGGTCTTCGGCAGTGGTACATTGCCACATACCTGGTGGGTGGCCTGGCCCTCCCCGTCACCCTCCTCTGCCTCATGCTGCCCCGCCACCACCACGCTCCTCACAAGGTAAGTCACGCTCCTCTGCCTCATGCTGCCCCGCCACAACTAATACAATGTGGTGTATTAAGGGTACGCTCCCTACTCCTCCTGTTACGCTAAACTGCTCCTATGCTAGTCATACAGTGTACTAAGCAAATTAACGCTAATACACAATCAAGTAATTTGTTATAAAAAGGTTACAGATTTTGTGTGTAGTTAGAAATGGATGTCGATCAATAAGTCCTGAGACTAGGCTTGCTCAGGCGGCGGCCCAATACAAAGACGCATACATCCATTTTAACGCAATGAATATTCAAAACTTGTAATTTATCAAATATAAGGTAATATTACATACTAGAATGCGTTGAACAGTTAAGTCTAACTTAGGTGGTTAGGTTCTGTTGGCAATTGCTGGTATTCACAGTACTTGCCAAGCATTTATGGAAGTGCGATTAGAACAGGCCGTGAATGAAGTACTGTTGGAGAAATATGCGCTATCAGTTGAAAGTCGTGTGTAAAGTTTTTCACTCATAAACAGGGGTTTACGGCTGGATTAACGAACATTTGGCGTTTGTTAATGTTTGTTGTGTAAGACAGTCACGGATAAACTAATGCTTTGTTATGAAGAGCTTTTGTCGGCAGATAGTAAACAGGTCATGATACCAGATGTGTGAAATTGCGAGTGTGTAAGTACTGATTGTATTGCAGGAAGTGTCGTGGGGGCAGGTGTTGAGAAGCCGGGCGGTGTGGGCGTGCGCGGGCGTGCACATGTCTCACACCTGGATGGTGCACACACTCCTGGTGGGCGGGCCTTTCTGCCTCGTCTACGTCATTGGCAGCCCATCCCTTGTAAGTAACCTCCTTCACGGAAAGTAACCACAAGTATACAAATATGGTTCTCTTGGTTTGCCATGTGGCAGAGGAAAACATGGCTGAGGTAGGGCTAGAGGAAGTAATATACCAATATGGTAGGGATTTAGCATTGTGTAGATCCGTATGGGATTAAGTAATTAAAACTATTTTTAGAAAGTACTTAAGGCAATTTCCGTTTCAATTCTTCCTCCATGGTCTGACACTCACATTTTTCATGCCAAACTTTGTCAAAGTTTGGAATACAAGTTTGATGCCTAATTTTAAATCTGAACACATTTTTAATTAGTGCTTCCACAGCCGAAGTTGAATGGACTCTTCAGGCCAAAGTTTTCTTGTAACCAACCCAACCAGTTTGTACTTTTCCTGTGTCTACATCGATGATTACTAGTTTTAAAATGTCTAAATACTACGCCACTATATTAAAGATGAGACGGGGGAGGAGGATTGTGTTTTACTTTGTTGTAAAGTATCATAAAAAGCCTCTCGAGTAGTTTCACTCAACCACGCGTCTACATTTCCAAATTGCCACTCAGTCTCGGCAACGTTTTGTCGTTTTAAACTCCGGAGAAAACGTGGTTAGTATTGACAAATATAATGAAGACTTCTCCCTGACAGTAGGTTACTAACAGCAGCAGTCGCTTGTTGCCATCTGTTCTCGAAGGTTGTGTGGGGTCCATTTTTGTGTAATGACTTTCACGTTTAAGCATTTTAAAATTAATATCCCAAGACCCGTATCCCAGTGAATATGAGGAGCTTTGTTACAGTATAATGAAGCTGTGGGTGTGTGTTGCAGCGTGGCTGGCATCTGGCTCTGGCAACTACGTCAGCGCTGGGGATCAGTGTTTCCTTGTGTCACCTCGTTCACGTCGCCCTTAAGGGTACCAGCCTCACTGCTCTCAATCGTCGACGTTTTCCTGTTATCACGGGTAAGTCTCGATTTTGCTACGTCCCACCACCGCTTATCCTTGTTAATTATCGTGACCAACCTTCCACCCTTGTGTGTTACCCCATCCATCCCACCCCTTCTCCTTCTCCCCTTCATTTAATCACAATCAACATATTACGGAAGATTGAGTGTTACATATACATTTCTTCATTCTATATCGTAGTATTGCATTTCTGTTAAGTTTGCCGCTTGGTCTGCCATTTACCCGGTCTTTCCCACCATCACCATGTGCACTCCTTACTAATGTGGGAGTAGAGATATTATATATATGACTAACATCTTGGGGTCTACACAGCACCGCTCCTGTGCCAGGTAAGTCCACTACGGGCTTACCATAGCCCGTGCTACTTGCAACTTTTGTTCTGAGTAGCTAAATCTAAAGCAGCAACAAACATTTTGGTATGTATTAACACGAAAGTACTTCAGGAATTTTCTAGTTTAATTTTCCTTTGTGGATTATCATTGTCATGTCATATTAGTATAATGTAGTATACATATATATGTATAATATACTCATGTATGCATAAGGAGGTATGTACACACGTCTAGTGTTGTCCTGACAGGTTGCGTCATAGTGACGGTAGGGACTATAGTCATGGCTACAGTGGGGATGTACTCTACGCAAGGGCTAATGATTACTGTAGCCTGCACGGCCTTCGGGCTGAGTGTGGCACGAGCTGGCTACACCCTCAACATGGACGATATGGCACCCTGGCAGGTATGGCGACTCAACAAGGTGTTCGATGTGCTTGGAGTGCTGGCCGCCGCCATCAGCCCCCTGGTGGTCACAGCTCTGGCTCAGGTGAGACACCTCCCGTAGCTTGCCTTAAAGAATCTTGATGTTTAAGAGTGTTATAAATTTCTCAACTGTTGGTTCTTAACCCATTTGTATTATTCAAACAACCTTTTTTCCACCAATTGATCAAACTATTTATTAGAAGAGGACGATGGCAGCCGTAGGAAGAACTGTTGGCAGAATTTTGTTATATAAACAATGAGTGAGAGCGCGATCACAAGTGCAGTGTGTAATATAAGCAGCTTACAAACGTGGTGAGCTAGGCTCATAAATGTTGTGTTGACCCTGCACGCCCCCTCCCACCACCACCACCACCTCAGTGTGTCATATTCAGCCACAAGTTCATCCAGTGGCAGGTTGTGCAAAGTTACAATCATCCGCTTTTACTACCAATAGTTAGCAAATTGGGAATTTTTGGCTAAAATGTCTGGTAGTTTCTGGTACCCATTTTGAAATAATTACATTTTTTTAGCATTTCGCACTCCATCACATAGTGGCGGAGGGTGTGCGAATAGTTTTGCCGACAGTTCACATTTGGTCAGATCTATATAAGCAGGTAACGCAAATTCCCAAAGATAAAACGGTGTCTAAGACGAGCAGTAGTAACATCTAGGAGTCTGCTGATTTTATTCGATGTTTCATAGATGTGTTGGTCTTCTTGCATGATAGTATGAATTCTATACAACGCATGATAGAATTTACTACTAGTAGTAAATTGCTTGACCCTCAGTCACTAAGATTGTTTTTCTAACAGATTGAAATGTTATAATTGCCGTGATGCCTGTTGCATTTTTATTGATAGGTCTCTCAAACGTCATGTTGCAGGGTGTGAAGGACGGGTGGGTGGGAGTGTGGCTGGTTCCCTTGGCGGGGGTGGCGCCGGCTGCTGTTCTCTACCTCTTCATGCTAACTACTAACCCACTTCCCTGGGATGAACCAGGTACCCTACGTCCTCTTTATTCATTGGAATCGTCTTTGTATTTTGTAAATTTTAGAATTTGTTGATTAAAATATTTTAAAGTAATTTATTTTTAACTAATTTATCACCGATTGGGAATGCTGACCTTCAGGGTAAGTTACTGATACGAGGACCTAACGTCTAGTGGCTGATGCTTTAGTGAGCACACTATCGCTGAATTAATGTCATTAACGTAGCGCCAAATTAATGTCATTAACGTAGCGCCAAATTAATGCCATTAACGTAGATTCAACGTCGAAGCAATATCATGCTTGGATATTGTGCCCACTGGGTGAAAGATTTCTTTTGGTTTACGGTTTATATTTACCTGGAGGCCACCAGGTAAATATAAAACTATATATATCTGTAGTGATCTCGACGGAGATAGGAAGTAGGCGGCTTGTTGGTTTGTATTTTTTTTCCCAGCTTGATTTTGAACTGCAGTAATGGCTTGGCATGTACGGCTTCGGAGGGTAGATATCCATGATTGGATATAGTAGTTCAGATGGGGGCGCATCATTGACTTGTACCGTTGCATAACCATTTTCTTTTCTTTCAAATCAATGGTTCGTTTGACTATTCCTATTTGTTTTAAATGTACTTGTGCTACTTTCAATGACTGTTGAATGAAAACTCTTTCCTGTACCTCATTAATCTGCTGTATGATGGTGTTGATAATATATTGCAATGTGCATTATACGCTACATGCAACTTCCTGCTTTTGTCAATATTGAAATAATTTGTAGAGTTCATCTGCAAAATGTTATAATATGGTTTGTAATATTCTTATGCCATTTGTCTTGGGAAGTCATCATCCTGGACCTTTGTGGGTTCTTATAATTATATTGAGTGGGTCACATGAGGCTTCTCCTCTACCTGAATTGCATAGGTCATGCCCTTTTTTGACGTTAGCACAAGATCTAGACTGCTGTTACCTCGGATGGGATCTGTAACATGTTAAATAATACTATTACAGTATTTACCTGAAATTACCTAGTGACCACGACGAGGACTGCAAGCAGGCTGTTTATTAATTTGTCCTGAATAGTCCATAAATTTGATCAATGACTGGAGAATTCGTAGAAGAAATGTCCTTAACATAAAAGCACTAATACGCAGAATGTTTTGGGCATATGTGAAATGACTTGTACTAGGTCCAGAAATTGTTGCCCCTTAGAATTACGATGTTAGATTCACCCAGTCAGTAATATTGTCTCATGGTTAAAATCCTCTATTATAAGAGCTTGGGCTTCAGCTATAACATTTCTCATTATGTAGATCTGTAACTTCATCTGATGATGATGTCTGCTTTGTAGTACACTTCCACTGTTGGTTTACTAGTATTTTGAGCCAGTATATTGCACCTTAGATTATGAGGAACCCGTCGTGTTTTAGATGAACTTATAGCTAGTTTTTTTTATCTACACTGTGTAATCTTTCATATAGAATAGGGTAGCAGCACATTGCTGTGTATACCTAAGCTTAACAAAAAAAGAAGTTGCAGTCGTAAAGTCCTCTTTTTATAGAAAGCATCACACCATCTGCTCTTATTATTTCTTAGTGGGTATGGTATTCTGGAAAATGGAGTTCTCTCTTCAATTATGTCTCTGGTCCTCATGTTTCACTGATTACAATGATTGTGGGAGTCTTAACTTCAGTGTATGCAATAGGCTTCTGGAATTGTGTAGAAAAAAATTAAATTCCTGACATTGTTCCCAGAGCGTGCTGAAAGATCATTCCTGCATTCGGCCCACTATTATTCTATGTATTACCCCTTTCGTTATGTGCCTGCTTATCACTGGAGACAGACAAGGTTGGTTCTGCCTCACTGGGCTAAGGACTGCGTCGTCCTCTCATCTACTATCTTGATCAGCTGCCCGCTACTTATCTTTAGCTTTGAACTTGTCTTGATAAACTGCTCTTGATAAAATCGCACTATCTATTAGGTACTTGTCATAATTTTTACGTTTGACTAGACTTAAATTTCGTTGTTTTGAAGTCAATAATGGAAATATAGTTGACGCTCGGAAGCATTTAATACAAATTTACATTTACTGTGGGTAAATGTAAGTCATTCGAATAATATATTATTGTTTTAGTATGGGTTTATCTTGTCAAATAAATTTTAAATATTAGAAACGTGGAAAAATCCTATACCCAAGGATGTACATAATTATATAATCTGATTCCAAGGTTTAAACATTTTAAGTTAACCCATAATTTTAAATTTGTCATGTAGGGTTCAAAGAAAATCGTAGATATTTTATGGTAAACTAAAACAAATTTAATAAATTGTCTTGAACCCAAATATTTTCTTGGGCAAGTTTGAGTGATAATGCTCCAACATTCTTTTAATAGCTAGTGAAATAAAATGTTAGTATTTTATAACAGTTTCAGCAGAGCCAAATTCTCAACGTTTCTAGGGTGATCTATGGCCTCGAAAACGTCTTGTTGGACAGTTGATGCAGGCTGTCTGTCGTCTGCGGATTAATGGTAGATCCCAGTCAGGTTCTGCAGTATTCTGACTTTGCTACTACCCAGCAGATTGTGCTCCTGCTGGAGCTAATGGAGAAGTGAAACTTGGAGGCGAGGCCGGAGGAAACTTGGCGAATGGGGGAGGTGACATTCGTCACTCCATGCGCAGCAAGCAGAGCTTCAAGAGTGCTCGGTCAGGCAATACCTACAAAAGTGCTCGGTCGGCCAATACCTACAAGAGCGCTCGGTCGGCCAATACCTACAAGAGCGCTCGGTCGGTCAATACATTCAAGAGCGCTCGGTCACTAGATACGTTCAAGACGGCAGGTTAGTGATGATCATCTTCAACCTTCAGTACCAATACCACCTTTAAAGTGGAGGCGCGTACACGTTCCTCCGTTCTGAAATACTTTTGCCGTGAACATTTTCACTGATATTTTCACTACTGCTATAGTTGTAGACTTGTCGAAATTTGTTGATAGTTTATAAGTTAATTTGAATAAAACCCAGTACAGTGTACTGACATTTTCATCCTAGTATCCATCATCTCTAACTTAGTCTGGATGAATCTTCATTTTTTTTAGTCCATTTATTATGCACCCCATACCCATCCTATGGGCGGTAGTGGAAAGTATTAGTCCCATAATGGGCATAATGGGCCCATAATCCCACAATTCATTTAGCTAAGCAAGATACAATCTTGATGAGCTAGTTACAAAATGCAATGCACACAGTCACTTGCTTAGCTAAATGAATTGTGGGGTTCAGTCCCTGAGCCCATTATGTGCCTCTGTAACCCTTTCCACTACCGCCCACAAGATGGGTATGGGGTGCATAATAAATGAACTAAACTAAACAACTAACATAGTCACATTAACAATGGGCTCGAGACCGACCACAAGTACAGATTCTAAGAACAAATCCACAAGGGCCGTGACGAGGATTCGAACCTACGTCTGTGAGCATCCTAGACGCTGCCTTAATCGACTTATTAGTGTACAGCTTCTAATTTAAGCAACTGACATATGTGGAGGGCTAGTGTCACAATTGATATGTTTATTCCCCATCCAGTGGGCATCGATGGATAGGTTACACTGTTATTACCTACAGTTAGAAAACTGGGGATATTTAGCCAAGACTTCTGGCAGCAGATCATTTTGAACGAAATATTTACACACCTCTTGAACATTTGTTATAGAGTTCTTTGAATTCGCGTATCTTTTCGTACTCCATCACATAGTGACGGAGGGTGTGCGAATAATTTTGTTGACCGTTTACATTTGGTCAGGTCTACATTAGCATATAATGAAAATTCCTGGATATATTTGTAACCGAGCAAAGCCGAGCTGTAGTAACATAGAGTATCTGTGCATGGGGGTTCATCCACTGCAAATTACCTCAAGCCTATCACCAATCGGCAAAATTCTATCAAAATTATAACAAACGCCTTCAGACAACACACAGCCCCCTCTATTTAAGTCCCTTAACATGCTAAACATACGCACTCCACACATTCTCATGTGCTATCTACATGTACAAAACCTTGTTCCTAAATGTTAATCTTGCTCTGAGCTTTTTTCTTGATAGATGTAATAGAACCCATGAGCACCACACCAGAAATAAATATCTCCTTGATATCCCCAGAGTCAGACTAAATCTGTGCAAACACTCCATGCAAATAAAAGGGCCCAGTCTTTGGAACTCGTTCCCTGATTAAATCAAAAAAATTGTTCAACCCATGCCCTGTTCAAAAGTAAAACCAAAAAGTACCTAATTTCATCCTCATTTCCTACCTTGTGCTTCAAACTCTCACTGTATCTTGTACTACCCACTTCCCCAATATTAGTACTTGACACACATCCTTACCAGTGTAATCACCGCTGTCAACTTAAGTTGTAGTTATTTGTTGTTATAAAAACCTTGCTACAATGTACCCTTTCATCTTGCCTGATAGGTCAGATTAAGAACCTGCCCAAAACGCTAAGTGTGTTAGTGGCTTCGCATGAATGTAAATGTACCAATCTCGTGTAATCTCGCCAACCCATTGTACCTTCTTGCACTAAATTTATTATTATTATTATTATTATTATCTATAAGTCTGCTGATTTTATTGGATGATCCATAGATGTGTGGCTCCTCTTGCATGATGACAGATGGAATTACTGGTGTCGATTTCACTTTGCCTCAGATCAACGAGATTTTGTTGAAGTTCTTGGTGTACTATTGCTCTCAGACTGCTTATTGACAATCCAAAGTTATACTCAATTTCTCCTTTAAAGGCAGATTCTTTGGCTAACTCATAAGCTTTATCATGCATTCGGAGGCCAACATGAGATGGAGCCCACTTGAAATGGACTGTTACCATCGTTAATAATTTAGTTTTTTGTGTCTAGCTTCAGACAGAAGCATGTTAGTTATGTCTTAAAGAGTTGAGAGCAATTAAGGATAAGGAGTCACTTACAATTAATATATTTAGTTTGGGAACTTGTACACATTTTAGTGCAAGTAGCAAGGTAAATAGTTCGATCTGAAAGGTAGAGTTGTTTATACGGACTCCCCACTCCAAATATAAGCCATCGCCCATTGTCAGTACAACTGCACTTCCAGGTGCACTCGTAGGACGGTGTAGGGAACCATCAGTGTATATGATTTGAGAGAAAATACTTAGAGACCAGAGCATCAGTATGGCGTAAGGCGGTGAGCTTTGCCTAAATACGAAGCTTGGGCTGATCTCTAATTTGCTTCTTGGGTGGAAAGGGAGGGATTAAAATTGGGAAGGGTGTAATCTCCCACGGCGCAGGAAATTAATCCTGAATATTTGTTGTTCATTTATAAATAAAAAAAATCTAACCAATATATTAACAACAGGAACCAATAAGTGTATTATTAATGAAGCAAAAAGTTTGGCCAAAATGGACTTAATAATGTGGTATAATGATTCTCTTTGTGTTCTATGTAATTAGAAAATTATATATTTTTGCAGAATATATTTTGAAGTTTGAATATTGAATGCCAGATTTACATTATTAAATTACAGGGGCCTTAGATTACAGCCAAAGGTGTTGAATTATAATTTGAGATGAATATAAAAATGTAATAAAATTAAATTTTCGCTGTACTGTCAGCCTCGCGGACTAGGTCACGGACGCTGTCCTGCCGTACTGTGGACGATGATCTGGAGGCGGATATGCGCAGTGTAGCCGAGGATCCTAGCGTGGACTGTCATCATCTTGAAGACAAGGAACCAGACTGTTATAGGTGAGTCCTAGAGTGGGGAGAGGCATGTCTTGTCTGAGATGATCAAGATCGTATCTCTTATGAAGTCTACGGTCCTCTTTTTATCTTTTGGACAATACATCATTTGTTTGCCAACTGACGCTCATTTTCATGCGTAGCAAAGTCAATCGGGGTTGCATGACGAGGTCAACGTGGGAACAACTGTATTCTCAAACACTCCCAAATCTCTCACTATCTATCTCTAAGAACTCTTTGACCCGGCCAGGATTCGAACCCATGCCGTCCAGGACAGTGTGACCACCGCACCAATGTTCGATCATTGGTGCGGTGGTCACGGTACTGTGTACGTTTAGGGGTGATCCTGGACGGCATGGGTTCGAATCCTGGCCAGGTCAGAGAGTTCTTAGTGATCTATGGCTTGCGTGTTCATGCAGCTTTCTCACATACAGTATATATATATATATAAAATATAAAAATTGACTCGGTTATTCCACAGTGCAAGCTCACATAACCTTCCTCAGGTTAGTTTTCATGCAAGAGCTTTAGAATTTGTATATGTTCTTTAGAGTACTGAATTCCAGTCTGTGAATGTGAAGTAATATTAATCTCAAGAACGACTTAGGAAATATAAGTATAATTAATTTTTGTCCCAAGGTCAACTAGGAAAAATATATCTTCATGAACAGGAAATTAGGATCTTAATTTTTAATCAAAGGCCTCATCATTGCCAGGATCAGTAAAGCCGCAATAAACGGTTTTTGACTTTCATGTATACGTGAATTTCTGACAAGAGTTCAGGATTACAGTAAGTTTATATATATGTACTAGAGAACTGCACCTCTAAATCAAAGTTTAGCAAAGGATAAGGGTCTTGAATAATCCAGCATTAAAGTTTCTCAAAAGATATTTTTTAACTTAAAATCATATACCAATTTCAGTGTTGCTTCAACCAGTACATTCAAAAGTGATGACATGCAGAGCGTGATCGATGGCAGAGACACGGTGACACAGCAGCACCAAGGGCAGCAGTTTGGATCTATGCTGTCTAATGGCGCTCTTGCAGACAAAACAGCCGTCTGGCTCAGCTCCCATCATGACCTCGCCATCACCGGCACCCACTGTGTACAAACACCGCCCACCAAGGAGGAGATCCACTCTAGGAATTCAATATATGGTTTGTTCTGGTGACAATTATTTGTAGCATTACTTGCTCTTAATAGCCACAACTGGCTTAATTTTGCGATATTTTGAGTATATAATGGAACTGATGAACTAAAAACTGCAGTCTATTCAGCAGTGATTGTGGTTCGTCTAGAAACATTTACTTAGGTCTTGAAACCTGAGAACATTTGGGTTTTGAATCACGATTACACGGAAGTGTCAAGTGTTTTGACTGGAGAAAGTACTGCCCTTGTAATGCTGTTCTCATTGTGAAAATTACTGGTATTGTGTAGGTTTTCCTTCTCATTGTGAAAAATATAGCCGTTGCCGAAATTATTTAAAATGCATTGGGGATCGGAACATATTTCAAAGGAAATTTTGCCTTGAAAAATGTGTAAATTTTAAAATTAACAAATTCGGGATTAACCTTATTGAAGAATAAATTTGTCAAGGTATGAAAACATTTTAATGCATTTTTTTTTTTTGACGACTGCTAATTGTTTGTACTTTGTTTCTATTGTATTTTTTCTACGCCGTATGGATTACCGACTGAACAAATTTTTATTCTCTGCCATTTGAGGGAAATAAAGTTAAATAACTACGAAACTAAATTTTAATGTCTAATTTATCATATTACAGTTTGACACAATATACAGGTATAGGCCTTCTACCCACCCACCCACTGCCAGCCATATGTACTGACCCCCACAATGCTCAATGTCATGTCACCCGGTCCATTCATGTAACAAACTAAACACAGGAATTATTTGCATGATCTCGCGCGCGCGCACACACACACACTGACCACTTTAAATGTTGAAAAACCCGGTAATGTGGTTTGGCACCGTTCCTTCACAGTCCTCATATCCCAGCTTCTTGGCCTCGTATATCTCTAAATGCTAGCTAGTGTGAATAACTTAATGCTCTCCTGATAATTTTTTAAAATTTTCTGGACAGAGGTTTATCAGAAGTAATGAGAAGGTAACACTTTTTCGACTATTGTGGTACTATAATACCACAGACATGAACATGTCTGTGGTATTCACATCCATGGACCTCATCAGCATTTGCGTTATGGTCACCAGTTAAGTATGCAACCCCCTAAATTTTGGAATATTTTTTTATTATACTTTTATAAATTGACAAAATTTGTTAAAGCGGAAATTACAGCAGACATTTTTAATTTTCAAATAAATGTGTGGGCACAACAGATTTTTGTTCATGGCATGAATTTTTTTTACTGGAACTTTTGTATATAAATGTAGTTGACATATTCTATTTATTAAACACATGATCCCATCTCACTGGGTCTGCTGATGCATCTGTACATTTTACATGTCATTTCTTGTTAATATTTCAACCTGCCTGAGGAAAAAAAGATGCATATTAATATTAGGCATACAAGCAGCACACCAAAGCTTGTTGCATCTTGCAAAAAAAATCTGTGGAAATGCAGATCTAAGTATGGGCAGTTTAGCTGTAATGTTTGCTGATTTACCAATGTATGCAATGTTTTGAAAAACAAAGCTATGCAAAACTTACTGTAGTTTCATAAAATATTAATTACCAGCCTGCATGCTGTTGCAATGGTTTTTTTTACTTGGGCATATTTACCTAGACATTTGTTGTAAGGTAACTAAAAGATGCAAATATCTAACACAAAGGCTGTTTCGTTATTAGTACCAGCTACAAAGTTTAAAAGTTCCAATAATGGTACAGAATTGTTCCACATTAATGTATATAGATGTGTACATGTATAAATTTAACTTGCCTACAACAGTGTGATGCCACCAGCCTATGCACACGCATTTAGAATTTAGTTTTTTATGGTCCAGTATAGTAAATTGTAAATCTTGGAAGCATTGGTAAATGCCAGATTAGTAGACTACATTTGATAGTGTACTGACTACATTTGATAGTGTACTGCAAAAAAAAAAAAAACTTCGATGCACTTGTCAGCTAAATTCGTAACCTTAGTGGATACATTATATTGTAACCTCGAGCTGTTGGTAGTGACGGGTGGGTAAGTGATGCTGCCACACCTTATAGTTCCTTATTATTAAACTTAAAATTAAAACTGTTACTGTACAAAATCATAAATGATTACCCATGAGATATTTATATTATCATGAAAGTTGTTATAAAATTATCTTGTCATGTTAAGAAAAAGATTCATTAGATTTGACTTGTATAAAGGAGAGAGAAAACACTGCTCAATGCCACAGTCTGCACTCCGGGTCATGACCCAGATTTTGTGGTCGTCCGGCAGTGTACAACATTCTGTTTTAAGAGACTACCAAGCTGTATAAAAATGTAACTCAGTATATCTAGTCACTATTAAAACATTAAAATAATTGGGCACACTAAAACATTACAATACTGTTGCTAAAAATGACCTTATGAGAATGTTCTATAAAGGTTCTTGACATGAGAATTCCGACAGACATGGCAAATCACAACAAACAATTGTCAAAATTATAGAAATAGTATAGTCTATTTACAAGACAGCAAACATCAAATGCAGCAGACTAACTGTACTGCTGCACAAGAATACCCTTTATGATAGTCCTTGCATCAACCCTGGCATCATGGTGTTTGTCCCCACTTGTAATTTTTTGTTCTAAATTTTCTAAAAGACCGTAGATAAATATAAGATGCAAATTATCTTGGCAGTGCATAGTTCCTATTTAATAATGTAAAATATATCCATTTCTCCAAATCTGATGGAGGGTAAGAACATTTGACCTGGAACAGCCGAGATATGGCTAGGTTGACGATGGTTGCTCTTAAATGGTTGAAATTCTGTAGTTTATGATCTATTATTAGTGATAGTCCACTCCTCGAAGTTCTCTAAAGTATAGCAGTTGCAGAGAAGTATGGCATTAATCATTAGAATTATAGCAAGATAAATTTTAACCTGGTATGACAATGCAAAACAAATAATGATTTCAAAGTGACGTATTAAAACCTAATGGTGGACATAGTTACAAAGTCTCGGCTCTGACCACTGCCAACAGTGCCTTTGAAGGATTTTGTAATTATAGCATAACGTCACTTAAGGGGAGATAAGCTGATTAAAAGGTTTCGGCACAAATAATGGTGATTGCCTTAATTATATACTGGAAATGCAATTAAATGGTTCGCTCTGCAGATGTTTTGCCACTGAAAAACTGTTGCACTGCTATAGGTTAGAGGCAAACTTCAGCCCCTCTACAATGAACACGCAACATCCGCCTACTGTAGAGTTGATAATGCTATAAAACAAAGGCATTAATATTTTATTGTAAAACTCGCCAGGTTATACAGCAACTTTATAACAAGTAATAAGAGGTGCTGATCAACAGCAAACGAAGATGAAAGTTGTTGCATCAGTATTGTTCATGCAACATGTTATTAGCTGTTTAAGAAGCATGTTTGTACTTAATCAAAAATTTGATTTTGTTCATTTTAAATGACCTACTAGTATGAAAGAAAGATGTACTTGAAACCCTCCAACTATTGGATACTAAACCAGTTTATATACAGTTTATATATGTAGTCTTTGACACTTATATGAATTCAGGAGTATATACATATATAATTTTATATTATATATGTATATCTATGCACAATTACACCTGGGAATGAGAAGTCGCCTAAGAAGACGTAGATAGCTGGACAGAGAACTGGAGTTCATCCTGTCTGAGGAGACAACGAAGGCCTCTTTGTCCTGTGTTACTTGTTATGGAAGAAACAATTGGTCGAAACTACCTTACATTCGCTTGTACTACACAAACGCATTTTTACACGGATCCCACCACACACTCCTGGGCTCTTACTGCTGGGCGTGTAAACACTGTGTTTCCATCAACGCCATGGTCTCTTGCATAAGAATTGTTCATTAACACAAGTGTTGGGGCTTTCATACATTTATGCCCAAAATGTCTCTTGAATTTGTGTAGTAAAAGTTTGCATAGTTAAAAGGTGTTGTCGTCGGGTCGTTTACGACAATTGCGGCACACGAGGATTATCACTGCCACGGCCACTACAGTGCCACCAGCGGCACCAAGCCCCAGAGCTACATAGTTGAACTTGGATCCTGTACGAGAGAAGCAGATCTCTGGTGCTTCATCATGTTGGGCAGCGCCAGAACTATTACCCGGACAGTTGCGAACACCATTGCATACCAAGTCGTCATGGATACAAGCCGCCTGTCCGGGACACACAAATTCACACTCGCCTGGTGCCATAAGTTTTGAAGTCATGACAGTGCCATCGCTGTTTCTTGGCAACTCAAATAATTCTGTCCAAGTCAATTTAAAGTTGGAGTGACCTGGAGCTGAGGATTTAAAGTGTATAATGATGGCACCCTCTGTCAAGTCGCGGGCCTTAAGGATGCTGGCCTTCGATTCGTCAACTGTGTCACCTTTCTCACAGATAGTAAATTCGGGCCGGTCACGGCCAGGCAGAAACACTTCAATAACTTCCAACGTGCAGTCATTTAGAGAGAAATCGAGCTGGTCTACATACAGCCAGACATCACGCTCTTGTTTTACCCTCAGCTCCCAGATACAATGAACATCCTCTCCATATCCACCGTACACATATGGTTCGTATTTTGGATAGATGATATTGCCCTCGGTGGAGGCCGGTATGACCGTAGGACCACATATGGGACTGTGGATAAACTTGTATGTGCCCTCAAATATTGGCGATGTTGACTTGAAGTAGTTTTGCATAGCATGACGATGATCAACATGCATCTCAAGAGTAAGTGATGGTCCATTAGAGACGATACTAGGAGGAAGACGGTTTCCCGAGAGCCAATTGTCGCAAATGCAAACATTGGTCCCATTTCGAAAAGGATCGATAATTTTCAGCTTGTCTACTTTGTCATTTAGGCAATCCATACAATCGTCGTCATTATGTTTGAAGTTTGTAGAATTAATAGTTAAGAGTATACGACGATACTGATAGCGTGGGGCTTTGAAGTGGTAACGACATAAGACATCTTCATCGGTCTTATAAAGCAGTGTGTTGAGGGGTGATCCAAACTTGCCCTCAGGCCTCACAAATGACTCGAAGAGTTCATCACAAAGCGTATCCTCTACGGGTTTTCCATAATGTGTATTGTTGAAGAAGTCATATTGAGCCCAATAATACAATGAAGATCCATCGTAACTTCCTGTGCGACTCTCAAATTTCACAAACATGGCACTTCCTGACGATATAAAATCATGCTTCTCCAATGGCCGAGAAAATGTATCGCAAAACATCTTCATAATACGAGCATCATCCTCATGATCAGAGTCGTAGATGATCAAAGTTTCGCCACAGTCGCCATCATAGGGGCGTATGGGAGCCTCAATGGGACGCACCCGAAAAGAAGGGAAATACATCCTAACCACTTCGTCAGGCCGTCCACGAATTAAGTAAGAGCAGGAAGTTCCTGGTGGATACCAATGAGCCAAGGAGAGAAAGATAGATTCCTGTCCTCGTTCAACTGTGTCGCTGGAGAACACCCAGTCACATGTCCCATTCCGTGATCCACTAGACTCTACATGACCAGGCCAGTTGCCCACGTTGAAGTGGAATCCAGTATTGAGGAAAGGACCAGCAGGGGATGATACGAATTCTACCATCACGTCTTGACCTGAACCAATGATAGAGTGAGGAAAACGGCCCATCCCACAAAAGGTGCCGATAAGAGCTGCGTCTTCATTCTTGCCGTCGTAGACACGGATGAAGTCGAAGGGGCAGTTAGTGCTGAGTGGGCGCATAGGGCACATCATGGGGTTCTCACAGCGCTGGCCGTCCACATTAAACTCTTCGTTCTCAATGTAAAGCTTGATGAAGGGCATGCGAGTGTTGAGGTAGTACTTGCAATGCAGGTTGCGTGGGTACACGCTTGGGTATCCAGGTGACTGCACAAAACATGACTGCAGCTTACAGTCTGTGAAGACCCTCTCACAGTAGGTGCCCGGAACCACCTCCCCTCGGCGATATGGATACAGCACTGGGTTGGGCCCAAATCTTCCATACACCTGAAATAAACAGTCATTTTATAATTAAATGCTAAGAAAATCAATAGGCAGCATGTCACTTCATCTATAATCATGCACTATCGTACCCAAAAATGTGTATGCTAAGTATTAATCGAGACCAAGTTTTATGCATTCACAAATATTCTGTTCTGGAATTCTACATGAAAAAAGAAAATAAGTTGTAACAATCTAAATATCGGGATATGACTACAAATATGACTGGGACCTAGCAAAATTTGACTTGTATCTGCTAAAGATGGGAAAACAGCCAATGTTGTACTTCAGTCACCAAGAGATGTGAAGGGTAAAGACCAAGAGAACACTGCAAGAGTCAACCACAAATAAATGAGCGTTGGCACAGTAAAAGTAAGAGCCGGGTATGCCTTAGAGCATATACAATTGAGTAAAGCTTCGCAATGAAATTGTCCATTTATCGTCTCTGGTGGAATATAAGTTCGATCAGGGAAAAATAGCGTAAACTCCATCAGCAGATTTTGACCCATCTGCAAACAGTAATAAGTAATTTTACAGAAAGTAATTTTTTTTTTTAATCAAGACAGTACATTTTAGGTTCCGAAAGTGAATTTGTACAGAATCAAAAACACATTTGGCTAAGCTTTAAGATGTTTTAGGGGAAAAATGCTCACATCAGTCCTCCCAAAAAGGTAAGATAATTATCAAGAGAGCAGTAAACCAGTATGTCTATATAGCACTTTAAGGGAATATGAGGACAAGGAACTGGGATATGAAGATGGGGGAACGGAACGGTGCCCAACAACTTTGACCAGTGAAGTTCGAACCACAACCCTTCAAGATGCTAGGCCATCGCTCCACCGACCAGTTCAAATGCACCATAACACCTCCCAAATATATGTGAAAATAAAGTTAGGAATGTTGCCACAAGTTACAAAATCCTATATCAAGCCTTTCACTAAAGAGTTTGAGAGACTGCACAAATAGTATCAACAAATCTTTTAAACGGCGGAAAATGTGTTTGCGTTCGTGCCATGTTTAGTATTGCTCAGGGGGGGGGGGGGGGGGGTAGTTAGGGTATGTTTAGTATTGCTCCGGGGGGGGGATAGTTAGGGTATGTTTAGTATTGCTCGGGGAGGGTAGTAAGGGTATGTTTAGTATTGCTCGGGGGGGGGGGGGGGGGGTAGTTAGGGTATGTTTAGTATTGCTCGGGGGGGGGGTAGTTAGGGTATGTTTAGTATTGCTCCGGGGGGGGGGGAATAGTTAGGGTATGTTTAGTATTGCTCGGGGGGAATAGTTAGGGTATGTTTAGTATTGCTCGGGGGGGGGGGGGTGTAGTTAGGGTATGTTTAGTATTGTTCCGGGGGGGGGGGGTAGTTAGGGTATGTTTAGTATTGCTCGGGGAGGGTAGTAAGGGTATGTTTAGTATTGCTCGGGGGGGGGGGGGGGTAGTTAGGGTATGTTTAGTATTGCTCGGGGGGGGGGGGTTAGTTAGGGTATGTTCAGTATTGCTCGGGGGGGGGGGGTTAGTTAGGGTATGTTCAGTATTGCTCGGGGGGGGGGGGTAGTTAGGGTATGTTCAGTATTGCTCGGGGGGGGGGGGTTAGTTAGGGTATGTTCAGTATTGCTCGGGGGGGGGGGGGGTTAGTTAGGGTATGTTCAGTATTGCTCGGGGGGGGGGGGGTAGTTAGGGTATGTTTAGTATTGCTCGGGGGGGGGGTGTAGTTAGGGTATGTTTAGTATTGCTCGGGGGGGGGGGGGGGTAGTTAGGGTATGTTTAGTATTGCTCGGGGGGGGGGGGGGGTAGGTAGTTAGGGTATGTTCAGTATTGCTCGGGGGGGGGGGGGGTAGTTAGGGTATGTTTAGTATTGCTCGGGGGGGGGGGGGGTAGTTAGGGTATGTTTAGTATTGCTCGGGGGGGGGGGTTAGTTAGGGTATGTTCAGTATTGCTCGGGGGGGGGGGGGTTAGTTAGGGTATGTTCAGTATTGCTCGGGGGGGGGGGGGGGTTAGGGTATGTTCAGTTAGGGTATGTTTAGTATTGCTCGGGGGGGGGGGTAGTTAGGGTATGTTTAGTATTGCTCGGGGGGGGGGGGGGTTAGTTAGGGTATGTTCAGTATTGCTCGGGGGGGGGGGGGTTAGTTAGGGTATGTTCAGTATTGCTCGGGGGGGGGGGGGGGGTAGTTAGGGTATGTTTAGTATTGCTCGGGGGGGGGGGGGGTGTAGTTAGGGTATGTTTAGTATTGCTCGGGGGGGGGGGGGGGGTAGTTAGGGTATGTTTAGTATTGCTCGGGGGGGGGGGGGGGTAGTTAGGGTATGTTTAGTATTGCTCGGGGGGGGGGGGGGGGTATGTTAGTTAGGGTATGTTTAGTATTGCTCGGGGGGGGGGGGTAGTTAGGGTATGTTTAGTATTGCTCGGGGGGGGGGGGGGTAGTTAGGGTATGTTTAGTATTGCTCGGGGGGGGGGGGTAGTTAGGGTATGTTTAGTATTGCTCGGGGGGGGGGGGGTAGTAGTTAGGGTATTTTAGTATTGCTCGGGGGGGGGGGGGGTATGTTAGTATTGCTCGGGGGGGGGGGGGTAGTTAGGGTATGTTTAGTATTGCTCGGGGGGGGGGGGGGTAGTTAGGGTATGTTTAGTATTGCTCGGGGGGGGGGGGGTAGTTAGGGTATGTTTAGTATTGCTCGGGGGGGGGGGGGTAGTTAGGGTATGTTTAGTATTGCTCGGGGGGGGGGGGTAGTTAGGGTATGTTTAGTATTGCTCGGGGGGGGGGGTAGTTAGGGTATGTTTAGTATTGCTCGGGGGGGGGGGGGGTAGTTAGGGTATGTTTAGTATTGCTCGGGGGGGGGGGGTAGTTAGGGTATGTTTAGTATTGCTCGGGGGGGGGGGTAGTTAGGGTATGTTTAGTATTGCTCGGGGGGGGGGGTAGTTAGGGTATGTTTAGTATTGCTCGGGGGGGGGGGTAGTTAGGGTATGTTTAGTATTGCTCGGGGGGGGGGGGTGTAGTTAGGGTATGTTTAGTATTGCTCGGGGGGGGGGGGGGTAGTTAGGGTATGTTTAGTATTGCTCGGGGGGGGGGGGGGGGGGTAGTTAGGGTATGTTTAGTATTGCTCGGGGGGGGGGGGGGGGGGTAGTTAGGGTATGTTTAGTATTGCTCGGGGGGGGGGGGGGTAGTTAGGGTATGTTTAGTATTGCTCGGGGGGGGGGGGGTAGTTAGGGTATGTTTAGTATTGCTCGGGGGGGGGGGGGGGGGGTGGTAGTTAGGGTATGTTTATGCTCGGGGGGGGGGGGGGTAGTTAGGGTATGTTTAGTATTGCTCGGGGGGGGGGGGGTAGTTAGGGTATGTTTAGTATTGCTCGGGGGGGGGGGGGGGGTAGTTAGGGTATGTTTAGTATTGCTCGGGGGGGGGGGGGGTAGTTAGGGTATGTTTAGTATTGCTCGGGGGGGGGGGGGGGTAGTTAGGGTATGTTTAGTATTGCTCGGGGGGGGGGGGGGTAGTTAGGGTATGTTTAGTATTGCTCGGGGGGGGGGGGGTAGTTAGGGTATGGTATTGTTAGTAGTATTTTAGTATCGGGGGGGGGGGGGGGGGGTAGTTAGGGTATGTTTAGTATTACTCGGGGGGGGGGGGGGGTAGTTAGGGTAGTATTGTTAGTTAGGGTATGTTTAGTATTGGGGGGGGGGGGGTAGTTAGGGTATGTTTAGTATTGCTCGGGGGGGGGGGGGGGTAGTTAGGGTATGTTTAGTATTGCTCGGGGGGGGGGGGGTAGTTAGGGTATGTTTAGTATTGCTCGGGGGGGGGGGGTAGTTAGGGTATGTTTAGTATTGCTCGGGGGGGGGGGGGTAGTTAGGGTATGTTTAGTATTGCTCGGGGGGGGGGGGTAGTTAGGGTATGTTTAGTATTGCTCGGGGGGGGGGGGTAGTTAGGGTATGTTTAGTATTGCTCGGGGGGGGGGGGGGGTATGTTAGTAGTTAGGGTATGTTTAGTATTGCTCGGGGGGGGGGGGGGGTAGTTAGGGTATGTTTAGTATTGCTCGGGGGGGGGGGGGGGTAGTTAGGGTATGTTTAGTATTGCTCGGGGGGGGGGGGGGGGTAGTTAGGGTATGTTTAGTATTACTCGGGGGGGGGGGGTAGTTAGGGTATGTTTAGTATTGCTCGGGGGGGGGGGGTAGTTAGGGTATGTTTAGTATTGCTCGGGGGGGGGGGGGTAGTAGTTAGGGTATGTTTAGTATTGCTCGGGGGGGGGGGGGGGGGTAGTTAGGGTATGTTTAGTATTGCTCGGGGGGGGGGGGGGGGGGGGGGTAGTTAGGGTATGTTTAGTATTACTCGGGGGGGGGGGGGGGGTAGTTAGGGTATGTTTAGTATTGCTCGGGGGGGGGGGGTAGTTAGGGTATGTTTAGTATTGCTCGGGGGGGGGGGGTAGTTAGGGTATGTTTAGTATTGGTCGGGGGGGGGTAGTTAGGGAATGTTTAGTATTACTCGGGGGGGGGGGTAGTTAGGGAATGTTTAGTATTACTCGGGGGGGGGGGTAGTTAGGGTATGTTTAGTATTGCTCGGGGGGGGGGGGTGTAGTTAGGGTATGTTTAGTATTGCTCGGGGGGGGGGTAGTTAGGGTATGTTTAGTATTGCTCGGGGGGGGGGGGGGGGGGTAGTTAGGGTATGTTTAGTATTGCTCGGGGGGGGGGGGGTAGTTAGGGTATGTTTAGTATTACTCGGGGGGGGGGGGGTAGTTAGGGTATGTTTAGTATTGCTCGGGGGGGGGGGGGGTAGTTAGGGTATGTTTAGTATTGCTCGGGGGGGGGGGGGTAGTTAGGGTATGTTTAGTATTGGTCGGGGGGGGGTAGTTAGGGAATGTTTAGTATTACTCGGGGGGGGGGGGGTAGTTAGGGAATGTTTAGTATTACTCGGGGGGGGGTAGTTAGGGTATGTTTAGTATTGCTCGGGGGGGGGGGGGTAGTTAGGGTATGTTTAGTATTGCTCGGGGGGGGGGGGAGGGGGTAGTTAGGGTATGTTTAGTATTGCGGGTGATATTTGTGAGAGTCGAGGAGGATTTAGAGAATCTAAAATACTAAGAGTCGATAGCCCCATTAATATCTACTCTGGTAACCTTAAACAGAATACCAAAACGACTTCTGTGTCAGAAGCGCTCTCTCCTGTGGAACATTACTCCTCATGAACATCTTTCTACTTGTTCCTAATGTAAACAATGGGAACCGTTGTTTACAATGCCGACCATCTATGTCCTCCCAAAAATGGTAGAACCAATGCTCTAAACACGCTTTTTATTTTTTTTGACTACTCATACACTCTTAATTTTCAAGCCAAGGCGCGGTCAATTTGCGCACTAACTGGTTGCTCTACGACACTGCAGTTTGGTGGTTGCAGAAACTATAAAGTATTACAACTCTCAGGACGGCACTCTTCTGTTTCTTGAGGCTTCCAGAGTATGACAAGGTTCGGCACATTATTCTTTATAGAGAACTGATAAGCAGAAAAAAAGTCTATTTCTAGATGAGAATATTTGATAAAAAAATGTGTAATAGTTCTGAAATAGAGTGAAATCTTGTCTGGAAACTTAAAATGGGTAAAACAGAGTCGTTTAACTATTTGCTGTATATCTTTAGTTACAGTAGAGCTGGCTTCCGTATAGACAGTACTAAGGTAGTTAAACCTATGATCTCGTTCTATTAGCACAAACTAAACACTATGTAGAAAAATGAGAGGACTATGAGAGAATACAACCTCACGTATTATCCAGACTTGACCTAAATCTACTATTAGGCACAAAGATTAAAAGAAAAAAATCATAAAATCATCTGGACATTTTGATACCTAATCAAAAGTTATTTAACAGTCACTGTCTCAGTGTGAATAGTTGCGAATTATGGGACCTGCGAAATGCCGACTTTGATAAACTAAATTATGACTGAAGGAAAGGTTTAAGACGTATGTAGGTGCATGACTCCTTCCTCGTACCCGATGTTCACTTGTATCCTTTTTTTTCTGTTACTTCCTTTCGTTTTCCCCTTACCTCCTTCTGTTGCTCAACTCGGGAGTCGAAGCTGAAGTAGGTCTCCTCTGTGAAGTTAGTGACTGTGAAGATGATCTTGACGAAGGAGGTCTCAGAGATGAAGGTGCGCGTCTGCTCTATCTCCCCACAGAACATACCTGGGGTCTTCCTGTTGGACACCTCCGTCTGCGCGTTCCCGTCCACGATCTGTTGACGGGTAAGATACCGTTAGACGTCTGTCTGTTGAAGGTTGGTGGTGTGTACTGGTAGATAAAACTACGAAAAAAGGTCAAGTTTATCTGTGGGCAGTGAACTTTTTAGACATCAACCTTCTCGACACCAATAACGTGGGCAAGTTATTGTTGACCGAAAGCAAAACCCCAACTGATGACCATGTCACGATGGCACCAAGACCAGACACGAAACATGTAATCAAGTACCATATTGAGTGGACATTTATAATAATCTGTCAATCACAAGACACTGTTCTAAAAAGTTAAAAAATTACATAATCCGCATTTTAGCTTTTCACAAGTTCCTCCCACAACTATGAATCAAAAGGTGCGACATGTGACACGCAGACAGATGTTCCTCTTACACAGAGAGCAATGTTGACACTCCCACCACACGGGGGCAGCCTCACGTGTACACTGTTGTGTCGTTATATTTACAGTATTATATAATGGAGGAAGTCAACTTCTCTGAAAATGGTAATTCTATCCACTTGGTGCCATCCAGGTGCTCATAGCCACACTTACGTACCCCACAACAAACTCACTAACTCTTGAGTATCTACTTACTGCTAGGTGAACATTAGGTGAAAGGAAATGTGCCCAACTATTTCTGTCCCGCGCGGAATTTTCGATTGCGAGTCGAGGACGAATCCGACTGTACTACCGAGACCCCTGAATGAAGCTTATGCAAGTCCCGCCACTCAATGTCGAAGGAATATTCCTGTACATTTACATATCAACCGTTCTTCTGTTATTCGATAGTCCCAAAGTCTGACCTTTTGTCAATCCATCTGGACCGTCCAATTTCCCTTAGTTCTCGCGTTAATACTTTAAACACCTAAAATGATGCGCCCGTGTCATACTGCAAAGTCCGCGTGTGTGTTATTGGGCTCACTCGTCCCCACAGGCGCCACCTTCGTCACCGCTCACAAATCCCTCAATACCAACGCTCTCAATTTCTCTATCAGTGTTCCTAGGCTTATGGAAATCAATTATATTTTATCACATATGGTCGTACTTACATCATAAGTTGATATTACAATCGAATTTGAGTTACACGGCTCCTTCATAACGGTGAGGAGCAAGAGCCCATGCCGGCGAGACGCTGACATGTTTACAAGAAGTAAACCATAGATGGAGCGGCCAAAACATGACAGACAAGACTCGCATATCACTTCACCACACCGCGCAGACGACGTCGCGAAGACCTATAACTATAGTCTGCTCTTCGGAACTGTGGGGAGGTCCGGGGCTGGCGCTGGAAGAATCATGATCATAGGAAAGTATTCACAACGGCTTTGACGCGTCGACCCGGCGCGCTTCCAGCGCTTCTACTGACATACACTCACAACCTGTCCTCAGGTCAGGCTCAAGCAGCCGCCGTCCTCCCCTACCACCAGACGCATTCATACATTTTTACGTATTGTGCATTATAAATTATTAATATTAATACATATTAAAGTTCCATATACTTTGACGAAGGTTGGGCGTTTAGGTTTTCTTGGCGATTATTTGTATCTGAAGTACGTGGGTGGAGCATTTACAGCGTTGTGATTTGAACAGAGGTTGTCAGCGAAGCATTGTTCAAGAAATCGCACGTCATCGGTTGTGAGTCGCGTGTAAACTATTTTTTATTCATAAACGGGATTTGGCGGCTGCATCGCTTCAACATTGGTCTGTGTTGATGAGGACAGGCGGCATAATGATCGACCAACGATTAGAACAGAGGACACGAGCAAAGCACTGTTCGAGAAATGTTCGAACCTCATCAGTTTGAGTCGCGTGTTGAGCTTTTTTGATTCATTAACAAGGGGTTTGGCGGCTAGATTAACGAGCAGTTGGCCATTGTTTATGACGGAGTGATCAACTGCGGGAGTGTTATTAAGGCCACTACAATACCTCTATGACTACCCAGCATGTATACTAGCATGGTACATGTATAGTCCATGAATACAATAAACTCTTAGTTTGTACACACCCATAAGCAGGGTACACCTCTCCGTCTATACATATCCCTGAGTATACGTGCAGAGAGCCAGAATTTGCAAAACATGTAGTGAATCGTCTTGTTAAAAGAAAATAGTTTATTATTCGTTATGTTGGTGATCCAGGTTAAACAATATAACAAGTTACTATGTAAAGCTTTGACACAGACATGACTCAGTGACCTTACTATAAAATCCAATGGCCTTACTATAAAATATAGTGTATTACTGATACTACAATGTTGAGAGCGTGACTGCTTGTCAAGCTCTCAACATTGGCGGTGGGTCACATTTTGCCCAAACCCCCCTGCAGTTTTCAAAATATCCCAAACATCCCAAATTCGATACCTGAGCCATATTTTGGAGCCAAATTCTGGCTCTCTGCACGTATTCGCAGTTTGAAATTTCGACTTTTTATACCGAAAATATGCCAATTACTGAAAGCGGCGGTGGGTCACATTTTGCCCAAACCCCCCTGCCGTTTTCAAAATATCCCAAATATCCCAAATTCAATACCCGAGCCAAATTCTGGCTCTCTGCACGTATTTGCAGTTTGAAATTTCGACTTTTTATACCGAAAATATGCCAATTACTGAAAGCGGCGGTGGGTCACATTTTGCCCAAACCCCCCTGCAGTTTTCAAAATATCCCAAACATCCCAAATTCGATACCTGAGCCAAATTCTGGCTCTCTGCACGTATTCGCAGTTTGAAATTCCGACTTTTTATACCGAAAATATGCAAATTACTGAAAGCGGCGGTGGGTCATATTTTGCCCAAACCCCCCAGCCGTTTTCAAAATATCCCAAACATCCCAAATTCGATACCTGAGCCATATTTTGGAGCCATATTCTGGCTCTCTGCACGTATTCGCAGTTTGAAATTTCGACTTTTTATACCGAAAATATGATAATTACTGAAAGCGGCGGTGGGTCACATTTTGCCCAAACCCCCCCTGCAGTTTTCAAAATATCCCAAACATCCCAAATTCGATGCCTAAGCCATATTTTGGAGCCAAATTCTGGCTCTCTGAACGTATTCGCAGTTTGAAATTCCGACTTTTTATACCGAAAATATGCCAATTACTGAAAGCGGCGGTGGGTCACATTTTGCCCAAACCCCCCTGCAGTTTTCCAAATATCCCAAACATCCCAAATTCGATACCTGAGCCATATTTTGGAGCCAAATTCTGGCTCTCTGCACGTATTCGCAGTTTGAAATTCCGACTTTTTATACCGAAAATATGCCAATTACTGAAAGCGGCGGTGGGTCACATTTTGCCCAAATTCCCCTGCAGTTTTCCAAATATCCCAAACATCCCAAATTCGATACCTGAGCCATATTTTGGAGCCAAATTCTGGCTCTCTGCACGTATTCGCAGTTTGAAATTCCTACTTTTTATACCGAAAATATGCCAGTTACTGAAAGCAGCGGTGGGTCATATTTTGCCCAAACCCCCCAGCCGTTTTCAAAATATCCCAAACATCCCAAATTCGATACCCGAGCCATATTCTGGCTCTCTGCACGTATTCGCAGTTTGAAATTTCGACTTTTTATACCGAAAATATGCCAATTACTGAAAGCAGCGGTGGGTCACATTTTGCCCAAACCCCCCTGCAGTTTTCAAAATATCCCAAACATCCCAAATTCGATACGTGAGCCATATTTTGGAGCCAAATTCTGGCTCTCTGCACGTATTCGCAGTTTGAAATTCCGACTTTTTATACCGAAAATATGCCAATTACTGAAAGCGGCGGTGGGTCATATTTTGCCCAATCCCCCCAGCCGTTTTCAAAATATCCCAAACATCCCAAATTCGATACCTGAGCCATATTTTGGAGCCAAATTCTGGCTCTCTGCACGTATTCGCAGTTTGAAATTTCGACTTTTTATACCGAAAATATGCCAATTACTGAAAGCGGCGGTGGGTCACATTTTGCCCAAACCCCCCCTGCAGTTTTCAAAATATCCCAAACATCGCAAATTCGATACCCGAGCCATATTTTGGAGCCAAATTCTGGCTCTCTGCACGTATTCGCAGTTTGAAATTCCGACTTTTTATACCGAAAATATGCCAATTACTGAAAGCGGCGGTGGGTCATATTTTGCCCAAACCCCCCTGTCGTTTTCAAGATATCCCAAACATCCCAAATTCGATACCTGAGCCATATTTTGGAGCCAAATTCTGGCTCTCTGCAGGTATTCGCAGTTTGAAATTTCGACTTTTTATACCGAAAATATGCCAATTACTGAAAGCGGCGGTGGGTCACATTTTGCCCAAACCCCCCTGCAGTTTTCAAAATATCCCAAACATTCTAAATTCGATACCTGAGCCATATTTTGGAGGTAAATTCTGGCTCTCTGCACGTATTCGCAGTTTGAAATTCCGACTTTTTATACCGAAAATATGCCAATTACTGAAAATGGCGGTGGGTCACATTTTGCCCAAACCCCCCTGCAGTTTTCAAAATATCCCAAACATCCCAAATTCGATACCTGAGCCATATTTTGGAGCCAAATTCTGGCTCTCTGCACGTATTCGCAGTTTGAAATTCCGACTTTTTAAACCGAAAATATGCCAATTACTGAAAGCGGCGGTGGGTCACATTTTGCCCAAACCCCCCTGCAGTTTTCAAAATATCCCAAACATCCTAAATTCGATACCTGAGCCATATTTTGGAGCCAAATTCTGGCTCTCTGCACGTATTCGCAGTTTGAAATTCCGACTTTTTATACCGAAAATATGCCAATTACTGAAAGCGGCGGTGGGTCATATTTTGCCCAAACCCCCCTGTCGTTTTCAAGATATCCCAAACATCCCAAATTCGATACCTGAGCCATATTTTGGAGCCAAATTCTGGCTCTCTGCAGGTATTCGCAGTTTGAAATTTCGACTTTTTATACCGAAAATATGCCAATTACTGAAAGCTGCGGTGGGTCACATTTTGCCCAAACCCCCCTGCAGTTTTCAAAATATCCCAAACATTCTAAATTCGATACCCGAGCCATATTTTGGAGGTAAATTCTGGCTCTCTTCACGTATTCGCAGTTTGAAATTCCGACTTTTTATACCGAAAATATGCCAATTACTGAAAGCGGCGGTGGGTCACATTTTGCCCAAACCCCCCTGCAGTTTTCAAAATATCCCAAACATCCCAAATTCGATACCTGAGCCATATTTTGGAGCCAAATTCTGGCTCTCTGCACGTATTCGCAGTTTGAAATTCCGACTTTTTAAACCGAAAATATGCCAATTACTGAAAGCGGTGGTGGGTCACATTTTGCCCAAACCCCCCCCCTGCAGTTTTCAAAATATCCCAAACATCCCAAATTCGATGCCTAAGCCATATTTTGGAGCCAAATTCTGGCTCTCTGAACGTATTCGCAGTTTGAAATTCCGACTTTTTATACCGAAAATATGCCAATTACTGAAAGCGGCGGTGGGTCACATTTTGCCCAAACCCCCCTGCAGTTTTCCAAATATCCCAAACATCCCAAATTCGATACCTGAGCCATATTTTGGAGCCAAATTCTAGCTCTCTGCATGTATTCGAAGTTTGAAATTCCGACTTTTTATACCGAAAATATGCCAATTACTGAAAGCGGCGGTGGGTCACATTTTGCCCAAATTCCCCTGCAGTTTTCCAAATATCCCAAACATCCCAAACTCGATACCTGAGCCATATTTTGGAGCCAAATTCTGGCTCTCTGCACGTATTCGCAGTTTGAAATTCCTACTTTTTATACCGAAAATATGCCAGTTACTGAAAGCAGCGGTGGGTCATATTTTGCCCAAACCCCCCAGCCGTTTTCAAAATATCCCAAACATCCCAAATTCGATACCCGAGCCATATTCTGGCTCTCTGCACGTATTCGCAGTTTGAAATTTCGACTTTTTATACCGAAAATATGCCAATTACTGAAAGCAGCGGTGGGTCACATTTTGCCCAAACCCCCCCTGCAGTTTTCAAAATATCCCAAACATCCCAAATTCGATACGTGAGCCATATTTTGGAGCCAAATTCTGGCTCTCTGCACGTATTCGCAGTTTGAAATTCCGACTTTTTATACCGAAAATATGCCAATTACTGAAAGCGGCGGTGGGTCATATTTTGCCCAAACCCCCCAGCCGTTTTCAAAATATCCCAAACATCCCAAATTCGATACCTGAGCCATATTTTGGAGCCAAATTCTGGCTCTCTGCACGTATTCGCAGTTTGAAATTTCGACTTTTTATACCGAAAATATGCCAATTACTGAAAGCGGCGGTGGGTCACATTTTGCCCAAACCCCCCTGCAGTTTTCAAAATATCCCAAACATCCTAAATTCGATACCTGAGCCATATTTTGGAGCCAAATTCTGG